ATAATAATTTATTTATCTTACATGTATATTCGTTATAGATGAAGAAATATTCAAATATATGTAAAAAATGTACAATAGTCTTCAGACACCTTTGTTCAAGCCAGCCACAAAGAGAGAGAGAGAGTATTATTAAGAATTAGGTAAAGACACAGGAAAGGAAGGCGGTCACTTGAGAGGGAAGTCATGGTTAGGAGGAGGGGAAGAGGAAATGGTTATAGATAATAAAGTTAGGGCAAGGAGGGAGGGGGAGAGAATGTTAAGGAAGGGAGAGTCGACAAGAATGGAAGGTAGAGTAGACAAGAATGGAAGGGAGAGTAGACAAGGATGGAAGGAAGAGTGAACAAGGTTATGTAAGGAAGAGTAGACAAGGATAGAAGGGAGAGTAGACGAGAATGGAAGGAAGCATGACAGCAACGTCTTGGGAGGGAGAATGGACAAGGTTATGAAAGGGAGAAAGGAAACAGGGTCATGGAAAGGGGAGCGAGCAAGATCATAGAGGGAGAATGGCCAATGGGGAATGGAAGAGAGAATGAAGACTGCCATAGAAGGGGGGATAAAAATAATGAAAAGGAGATTGAACTATGCCATAGTAGGGAGAGATGAAAAATATCAATGGAAGGAGAGTGAGACAGACTATGGAAAGGTGAAAGGTATTGACTTAGAAGGTCACGAAGGAGGGTGTCAAATAAGAAGGAGGTGGAGGAGAAGGAGTGTTGTTGGTGACAGAGTAGCCGAAGAGAGTCAACGATTTCCAGGAACAGAGGTGACGGGGCGCGGAGAGAGAGAGAGAGAGAGAGAGAGAGAGAGAGAGAGAGAGAGAGAGACTGTACGTAAAGAAGGGTTTGGAAGCAGTGTGTGACGGAGAGAGAAAGTAAAAATTAATGATATTTTTACGAGAGAAAGGAACAAGAAAAAGATATAAATATAGAAGGCGAACTCTAAGGGTGAGGAAAATGAAGAGTAAAAAGAAAGTGAATGATGACAAGTAAGATAATAAAAGGAGGAGGAGGAGGATGAGAAAAAGATGAAGGGGAATGAGGGGACAACAAGAGTATTTAAGTAAAAGAAGAGAGGAAAGTGAACGGAAGAAAAGGAGAGAGCGATAGAGGTGAGTGTGTAGGAGTAAAGTAGGAATAAAGGAGAGGAGCTGAGGGAGGGGGAGGGTGGTCGATGACAGCGATGAAAGATGAAAATTTGCAGTCCGGGGTCACGACACACTAGGGGTCACGACACAATAGGGGGCTACAACACACTAGGGGTCACGGCACACTAGGGGGCTACAACACACTAGCGGTCACATCACACTAGGGGGCTACAACACACTATTGATCACAACACATAAGGCATCACAACACACTTCGGGGTACAACACAGTAAGGATCACGACACACTAGTGGTCACAGCACACGAGGGGTCACGACACACTTGGGGTCATAACACACTAGTGGTCACAACACACTAGGGGTCACAACACACGAGGGGTCACAGCACACGAGGGGTCACGACACACTTGGGGTCATAACACACTAGTGGTCACAACACACTAGGGGTCACAACACACTAGGGGTCACAACACACTAGGGGTCATAACACACTAGGGGTCACAACACACGAGGGGTCACAACACACTAGGGGTCACAACACACTAGGGGTCACAGCACACGGTGCACAACACACTTTAGAGTCATAACACACTAGGGGGTCGCAACACACTTGGGGGTCTACAACACACTAGGGGTCATGACACACTAGGTATACGACACACAATGGGTCATGACACGCGATTCATTACACCAGGGGTCACGACACTAGGTGTCACGCCATACTAGGTGGTCATGACACATCAGGGATCATGACATACCAGGGGTCATGACACAACCATGGGTCATTATACACCAGGTGTCTCAAATCTCCAGGGGTCATCACACACCAGGGGTCATTTCACACCAGGGGTCTAAACGCACTAGGCGTCATGACACACCAGGTGTCATGACACACCAGGCGTCGTGAAATACCAGGCGTCATGACACACCAGGGGTCATTACCCACCAGGGGTAATTGCACACCAGGGGTCATTCACCAGGCGTCATTACACACCAGGCGTCATGACACACCAGGAGTCATTACCCACCAGGGGTAATTACACACCAGGGGTCATTCACCAGGCGTCATTACACACCAGGGGTCATTACACACCAGGGATCATGACACACCAGGGATCTCGACACACCAAGGGTTACGACACACCAGGGGATTACAACACGCTAGGGGTGATGTGGTGATCCAGTGTGAGGGTGGTAGCGTGGTGGACCAAGGTGGTGGTGGTAGTGTGGAGGACCAAGGTGGTCTCGGTGGTGGTAATGTGGTGGACCAAGGTGGTGGTGGTAGTGTGGAGGACCAATGTCGTGGTGTTAGTGTGGAGGACCAAGGTGGTGGTGGTAGTGTTTTGGACCAAAGTGGTGGTGGTGGTGGTAATGTGGTTGGACCAAAGTGGTGGTGGAAGCATGGTGGACCCACGTCATGGTGTTAGTGTGGAGGACCAATGTCGTGGTGTTAGTGTGTGGAGGACCAAGGTGGTGGTGGTAGTGTTTTTGGACCAAAGTGGTGGTGGTGGTAGCGTGGTGACCATGGTGGTGGTGGTGGTAGCGTGGTGACCATGGTGGTGGTGGTAGTGTTTTGACCAAAGTGGTGGTGGTGGTAGCGTGGTAACTGCGGTGGTGGTGGTGGTAGCGTGGTGGACCGTGGTGGTGGTGGTGGTGGTAGTGGTAGACCAAAGTGGTGGTGGTGGTGGCGTGGTGGACCCACGTCATCGTGTTAGTGTGGAGGACCAACGTCATGGTATTAGTGTGGTGGACCAAGGTGTGGTGGTAGTAGTGTGGACCATGGTGGTGGTGGTGGTAGCGTGGAGGACCAAGTGGTGGTGGTGGTGGTAGCGTGGTGGACCCGGTGGTGGTGGTGGTGGGTGGTGGTGGGTGGTGGTAGCGTGGTGGACCATGGTGGTGGTGGTGGTAGTGGTGGGACCAGTGGTGGATAGGTAGAATGAACCATGATAGCAGTGTGCTGGGACTGAACAGTGCAATGGTCTATTTACACTAAGGTCATGTAATCCTTAAACACTGACCAAATACAGAGTGCATATATGTGTCTTTGTATGTTTAAACACGAAACGAAAACTTGGGTATATGAAAATTCACTTTTTTTACCCACAAACTCTCCTTCCTAATTGTTTCAAAGTCAAAGATGTACATGAATCTTTGTTGAATTGTATAAAAGCTCGTTGTTGACCCAGACTTACAGCATAAGTGGATAAAATTACGGGCTAAAGCTCTAAGAATGGGGGAGAAAAGGTTAATGGGGGAGGAAGAGGTGTTTGGAGAGAGACAGGAGGTAATGGGAGAGAGGCAGGGGGCAGGAGGTACTAGGAGAGAGGCAGGAGGTACTAGGAGAGAGGCAGGATGTACTAGGAAAGGCAGGAGGTACTATAGGAGAGACGGGAAGTGCTCGAAGGAAAGCAGATGATAGGAGAAGGACAGTAAATGCTATAGAAGACAGGGACAAGTGTGGTGGTGAAGAGGACCACTTAGTCACGGCTCGTGTAAGCCTGAAGACCTAATTGAGAACCAGCTACAGTTCATCCCCTCTGGTCCACAAAGGAAGATGACGCAACAACAACCGTCCAACAACATAAATAAAATCAGCATTTCAAAACACGTATCCTTTCGCTGGATAATTGAAAGATATAGTAAAGTTATAGATGAATTATACATAGAAAGACACTCGTATAATGGGATAAAAAAAAGGGGGTCATCTCCATTAAATATATTATTATCAAGGTGCTGATGACCAGGGGGTGAGTTATAAAGACAGTTACACCATCAATGTTCTTCCCATACACTCCTCGTGCCTCTCACTAACTAGCCCGCCAGGACACAAGACCTGCTCCAAAACTTTTATCCACTGATTCTCGTCTAATTTAGAAGCTATGGGTGTAGTAGGTGTGCTAGTCGTAGCACCTATAGGAGCGAAAATCTCAGAAGATACAGTGGTGCCCGCTACCAACTTGCGAGGTCGGGGTTTGCATGGTCTGACCCAAGTGGCCGAGATAAGGGAGTAGTGTCCAAGTTCCCCCATTATTTGACTGAAAATAGTACTGTATTGGGAATTGAGGCATTTCCTCAAGCCTCCACAGGGTAGAATGCATACCGCAGAACACCTTATTGTCGCAGTACATGTTGGCAATGTTAATGTAGTAAGAGTAACATAGTGATTAGCTTGAGGGAATTAAATTGAAATAGCACTCATACTTGCTTGATTACATGTTAATAGAAGAGGTTTATACAACTCCTACATATAAACACCGATATAAACAATACTATGTATAAAGAGTAACCAGACAAATTGCATTACAAATATTGTTAGCAATATTGTCACTCACATGGTATATCATTCTAATATAACATACACTGTAACTATATTTATTAATCTATACTTATAAGAGAAATTACATATTATCACGAAAACTTAACAAAATATATTCCTCATTGCGATAATGTGTTCATCGCTTTTCCTTATCACCAAAAAAATCATCATATCATCATCATCATCATCATCATTATTATCTCTCATTGTGAAGATAAATAGCTCTGTATAGGTTATTAAAAAAAATATACAATTTGCAGGTAAGAATGCAAGGTTACAGAAAGAGTGAAAAATCTCCAGTAAACATCACCACCATCATCATTATCATCATCATCACCATCTTCAACATCATTATCATCAACTCATTATCAACGCCGGCCATCAATATCTCATCTACATTTTACGGTGACTCATCGTAATATAGAAGCTGTTTATCTTTTAATAACCAGTACAGAAGGTTTTAAATCTCACAGCTTTGGCTCTTAAACGTGTCATTTCTTCGCTCTAGTTTCAATTTTACGAATTTATTGTGTCGTTTACAGCACTTTAGTTCCTTTTCAGAATTTTGTATCGTTTCCATCTTTTTTTTGTCGTCTCCAGCACTTTATTTATTTCTAGCACATTGGTTAATTTACAGCCTTTTGGTTTATTTCCAGCACTTTGTAACGTTTCCAGCACATAACATTGTTTCCAACACTTTGGTTTATTCCCAGCACTTTGTATCACTTCCAGCCTCGAACATCATTTTCAGCTTCACTCATTAATATAAAGTATGATTGAACTTTTCTCAGTAACCATCTCCAAAAACTCATTAAAATATTAAAGTATAAAAATGACTCACTGCCATTTTTATCCATCATTTATAACACTGATCGTGATAAATTCTCTCCCAGCACCAGCGTTACGTGTATATTATGATAATGACATGTCACCCTCATCACTTGTTATCATCATCACCACTATCACCATTATACTCGCCAGAACCCCTATCCTTGTCTAATATTAACATAGGGTATAATTGACAGTTATTTTCTGTTATTATCACTTGGTATCATCATCACTATCACCATTGGTCATTATCATAGATCACCATCATTAAAAATCCCGGCCAGTATCTTACCAATATTATCATTATGTTCATATTTATCTTTTGCATATTTACCACCATCATCATCATTAATTCCATCACTGAGTTTTATTTTCATTATTAGTTTCATCTTTATCTGATATCATCCTTATCATTATTATCAACACTCACTTAATGTTACCATCATCATCATCATCATCATCATCATCACTACTATCATTACCCGACACTGTTAGCATTACCATCAGTATTAGTGTCGTTTAAAATCTGGTATCATCATCATCATCACCATCACCATCATCATCATCATCATCATCATCATCATAGTCTTCGTTATCATTCATATTCACATCTTCACGCAACACTGTCAACACTATCAATACCATCATCATCTTTTCCTTGTATTATCATCTTCATTAACACTTTCATCCGTCATCCATTATCACTACCATTATAATCATCGTTATCCTCGTCGCTATCATCATCATCATTATCATCCTCGTCATAATCCCGTTTATAATCACCATCATCATCACCATATTCGCTAATATCATTCGACGTCCTCACTATCATCATCACCACCATCCTCATTATCACCATTATCACCATCATCTTCAACCGGGATCGTACCACCATCACGGGGACGTCTGGGTGATTCACTCCAGAACGGTGTCTCTTGAGCCGAAACTTGGAGGTTTCCTTCAGTCACCTTGAGCTCTGCCACCGAGCATGTGAGCTACAAGGTCAGGAAGGTTCACCTAAACACATGAGGGATTATGCAGGTGATGAAGCAAGGTGAATGTGACGGTGTTGCCAGCTTGGTGTAGGTGGTGCCTCTTTTGCTTAGAGTCCCCTGTTAGGTGAAGTTGTGAAGGTAGATGTCATTAAAGGTCCAGCTGGGTGATGGTGGTGACTAATGGTTCTCTACCAGCTAGGTGAAGGTGGTGGCCATAGTGATGTGTCCTGATAGGTGAACGTGATGACCATAGTGCTGTGTTTTGCTAGGTGATAGTGGTATACTTGGTGCTGCCTTAGGCTAGGGGAAGGTGGTAATCATGGTGCTGTCATGCTAGGTGAGAGAGGTGACCAATATGTTGGTACCAATAGAAAAATGGAAACGGTGTTATGGCTCCCTTGGCTAAGTGACGATGGTGGTGTCACATGCTAGGTGGCGGCCGACACTGGTCCAGCTATGTGAAGGTCGACACTGGCCCAGATAGGAGACAGTCGACACTGGTCCAGCTAGGTGAAGGTTGTGGCCATGGCCCCCTCCTCCTCACTCTCCTGCAGCACCAGTGTCGTCAGGTTGAGGGCGCTCTTCACTCTCCTGGGCGGGTGGACCTCGAGGCTGTGTGAGCGAGTCCGGCCCACGAAGACTGAGTTCTGGCGGGGTCGACGATACCCCATTTGGTCAGCCTAGTGGTGGACGGGTAAGGAGGGGCAGCGACAGGAGGAGGGCAGGGAGGGGAGGAGGGCAGGGAGGACATATATTGAGGGTTAATCATGGCCATCTAATATCAATTTATATATTTATATATTGTTTGATATATTGTATCTTCATTAGGGACAGGACTGATTGTCATCTACACTATATTTATATTTACATGGGAAAATGCAGTGGTGATTCTTGTGGGCTGGTGAGATCTAGGTAAGTAACAATGGACTTGTGCATTTCTTTTATTTGCAGCTTTAAAAATAATGAAAGTAATCAATTTTATGAAGCCTCTACGGCCTTACGGTAAAGAAAAAAATCCTTCTAGCTGCACCTTCAAGCTGTAGGTTGACCTTGGATAAAACAATACAAGGAAAGTTTTACGCAAGGGAAAAAGACCATCGAAGGATTTCAGTTACCGTGAGAAATCCTACTGAAGGTCTTTGACTATTAAATGGTGTAGGATACTAAACTAAAGTCAAGGAGAAAGATGCTTAGGAACTTGGGGTTCAGGTTTCTCAAATACAGTATTCTTATGTAATCTTCTTGTTTCCTTAACTGGTTATGAAAAAACAAAAGCTTCTTATTTAATGATAGAGACTCAGTGCAATATTAGCGTCCAATTTGACCGTGTATATAGTTTCAGTGAATCAAATAATATTGGTTTATGCATATCCAGTTAGGAAGAAAGCCAGCGTTGAGGAGGACAGTGTGACGTCTGCCAGGGAGGGGAGCGGGTGGATGTTACGCTACTTGGTTGTGGAGGACAGTTGTGGTACGGGGAGGGGGATGGGAGAGAACAAGAGAGATTTTCTGTGTGTAGAAAGAACGTATTACATACAGGTGAGGGAGGGAGGCTAAGATTCATTGTATAGAGGAACAAACTATACAGGCTAAGACTCCGTGTATGGAGGGAACAAACTACTGTATACAGGGAGGAAAGGAAGAACCTCACAAAGTAAACATCTTGACTACACGTGAGAGATAAGGTGAGGATAAACTAAGTTACCACTGTGGTTGATGGGGTGTGAGAGTGTTGGGGGGAGTCTTGTGGGGGGACTACCTTGAGGGGGTTGATGGGGAGGGCGCAGGGGTCGGCCATAGGGCAGGAGGGGCGGTGCTGCAGGAGCTGGGGCGGCGCCTCCTTGTACGGTTCCTGGTAGGGCTCTAGCATACGGATCTTCCCCCACCTGTAAAGAATATAATAATGTAGTGTATCGTATAGGTGATCATGCTGCTTTACATTAACACGCATACACACAAAAAAAATAAAACACCTTGTAGTTAAAACGTTAGAGACACATCCAATATTTCTCCTTCAAGAGACACACTCATAGAGAAACAAGTACACCATCCCCATAAGTGAAAAATATCTCTACAACACCACTTGTGAAACACACTTACATGACACTCTTGAGAAACACACCCACACTTCCAGCTGTAGGGAAACTGTACCACAACTTCTCGAGTTAAAAATCCTGAGCAATTCACAGCACGTAATGTGACGTCCGCCTCTCATAGGACTATGATATAAGGCTTAAAATCTTGTGTTGTTTTCGCAGAATAAGAAAAATTATAGTTTGTATTGTGAACATCATACGGCAACTTGTGTAACAGGTATCGTGGACTTCAGATATAATAAATACATATTTATTTCTCCTTGTGTAGGTTTCTTTTTGTGTGCTGTCTTTAAATTCTCCTCCAAACAAACTTTGTGGTGTGTCAGGTACCCCTGTCGTCTTTACCTCCAGCACCACTTAACTTTACTCTTAGAAAGAAGAGAAAACTGGGTTAAGTAGGACGAGTGAGGTTGATTTATTGAGGAAACTGCTGCTAACTAGACGTGTGTGCCAAAGTTAGTTAACGGTCGTGGAGGTACGTGTGTACCTTCCTGCATGGTAATGAAGGTCTTCTTTGAACCACTGCAGCTGCAAGATATCTTACTTTCTCTGGAGAAATTTGAGCATCGTATAGTCATTATGGCATCTTAGGTGAAAAACATGACCAAAAACCATGGCGCGACTGCAGAACTTTAGGGCACGTGGAACGTATATAGACATTGTATGTCATTAAATTAAGTAAAGCCACGTACTACATTCACACAGGGTACTTGAAATAAAAGAAAATCTTTATCGTTCACTATATTCAAATAAGATATAAATCTACCTATGCGCTTGAAAATACAGTCCTAAAAACGATGTCAACCGTATTCATCCTGACTACTCGTAAGAAGTAGAACACATCAATTTTCGTTTGCTGGTTAACGACCGTATTGAGGGCTGTAGTGTACTGTGGTATATTATGTTCTCTAAAATTAAAGATCATACATATATACTTTATTATCAGTCTAAAAAAGGGAAGAATTACCTTCCTTAATTTTTTGTTGCCAGTGTCCAGTGAATGCTTAAGAACTTTAATATTCTTATCACAGAAACACATAGAAACATCAAAGATTTTAGCACAATTAAAAAGATAAGTGTGCGACCAAACTGTGCTACAAGACATGATTCAGGAACTGGACGCGAATCGTCAGTCTTTCCACCCCATCCTGTTTTTGTAAAGAAATCAACAATTAACTGAGTTATTGTCCTCGTTCTGCTTACACTGTGTGTGTGTGTACTGCACTGCCAGTAGATATATAGAATCATGCTAAGAAGGTCTCTTGTGTATATCCCAGTTAATTGACTCTAGAAACCAGTTATCCAGAACAAAATTTTTCCTCGGTAAATAATGGAGCGTCAGAAATTACACTCGGAAGAGATGAAGATAATAAGCTAAACCTTTAATTCCTCCTCTCCGCGAAAATAAACAACTTTAAGGATACAAAGCATTTATAAACTTACCAACCGATGATTCTCATAATAAGAGATCGAAAGAACGCGTAGAATCAGACAAACGCACTAGTTTGTAAGAGAAGCGTGACACCCACCCCGTCCCGTCCCTTTCCCACCAAGCAGCCACTCGTCAACGTCTGCCACCACTCTTAGGTTAACGTTTTCCACCACCAAGCTTTAGTTCTAGATTCTATTTTCGTCACTCAGGCAGAAATTTAGCACCAGGATACTTTAGTGAAGATTGATTATGTGTATGGCGCACATGAACACCCCGGTGCATTCAGACACATAAATACACACTCACTCACTCACTTACCCACCTACTACTCCTACTATTTTGCTGTCACTCGGAATAAAGTATGACGATCATCCAGCTATGATACAATGATGTGAGTTATTAAGGATGTCACCTAAGGTGACTAAAGAGGCCGATACGGGACTGTCAGGGTCGATCACAGATGTTGCACATGTGGGGGGCTACATCTTGTACGGGAGGGACAGTGGCAACGTCTTTCCAGCATTGGCGTTTGTCTGCCTCGTTATGCAGACAGGTTAACTCGAAGGTATTGACACCTTCTTGTGTGGTGATCCTCCAAGCGTTATGGTGTGCAGTAATCGTCTCCCAGGTGACGGGGTCGATTTGGCACTGTTTCAGGTTTGTCTTAAGACCATCCTTATATCTTTTCAGTTGCCCACCAGGGTTACGTTTACTATTCTTTAGGTGACTGTTAAGTAGCTACTTTGGCAGTCTACTGTCGTTCATGCGGGTAACATGGCCAGTCTAGCGTAGTTGTTCATGGATAATGGGAGTCTCGATGCTTCTACATTTGGTGTCAGCAAGAATACCGTCACTTGTTCTCTTGTCTTCTCAGAGGTGGAACGTAGACTACGTGGGTGAAAGTTTTCAAGTGCATTGATATGCCTCCTTTACATGACCCATGTCTCGCTGCCATATAACAGGGTGGGGAGAACCACTGCTCGATATACGTGTAAGTTTGTAGATAATTTCAGCTACCTCCAGCTGAAGACACAATTTTGGAGTCTGTCAAGAGCTTGACATGCACATCTGAACCAATGCTGAATCTCTTCATCGATGTCCGCGGTGGTGGACAGGTGGGAGCCGAGATACCGAAAGTGGGTAACATTAGAGAGGGCAGTACCGTTAAGCTGGATGAATGGTGGAGGTGTGGCTGAATCAGGGGCAGGCTGAAAGAGAATCTGAGTCTTACTTACATTCACCTCAAGGTCCAAGTGTGTATATGCATCTTCGTAGGTGTTCAGGATCTCCTGTAGGTCGCGTTCAGTGTGAACGACAAGGGTGAGGTCGTCTGCATACTGAAGCTCAGTAATGGAAGCTACCGACACCTAAGTTCCTGCCTGGAGTCGTCTTATTTTGAAAAGACCCTTCATCCGGCACTCGATGTTCACACCGCCGGCTATATTGGCGCGTGCACAAGTAAGGAAGGCAGCAGAGAAAATGGAAAAGAGAGTTGGCGTCAGTACACACCCTTGTTTAATCCCTGTTTGGATGGAGAAGAACTCAGACTGGGTGCAATTGTGCAGGACACTGCCATTCATGCCATCGTAGAGTTGCCTCACAATGGCGATGAATTTTGGTGGGCAGCCAAAATAGCTGAGGGTCCACCAGAGGGGTTTACTCCTATAGCCTTATACCTACCAAGGTTAATCCGCAAGGCAGCCGGGCAATGGTTGGTAGGCACCAGGACGTGTCCACATGACAATGGACCTATGCGCTGTCCATCTGGGGCCCACTGCTGCTGCTGCTGCTGCTCCGAGATCCCCTCCTCGTGTTGCCACGAGGAGGCACAGCAAGAGTCTTGATGGTGAAGAGGCTGTGTACTAGCAGGGGAAGGCTTATGGAAGTTGCTTCCCTGTTCGCCACGAATGCTAGCCAGCGGCGGTAGCTGAAAGCGAGAGGAGCAAGCAGTGCTTTCACCTTAACACTAACATAATGCTGCCACACTAGACGCATTTCACCACCCTGTGTGCGAATACACACAACGTCTCTTGTACACACACACACACTGTTAACGTCTCCTGTACACCCACACACTCACACACTTAACATAAGAACATAAGAACATAAGAAAGTGGGATACTGCAGGAGGCCGACTGGCCCATACAGGGCAGATCCCTTTCACACCCATCCCAGCACTTCCATGTGCCTATCCAACTTCGTCTTGAAGCTCCCTAGCGTCCCCGATCCTACTATAGCACTCGGTAGCCTATTCCACATATCCACAACTCTATTACCAAACCAGTGCTTGCCTATATCCTTTCTGAATCGGAATTTATCTAATTTAAAGCCATTTGTTCTAGTTATTTCGTTATTACTGAGCTTCAGAACATCTTCCATTTTACCCTTGTTAATCCCACTTACCCACTTGTACACCTCTATCATATCTCCCCTAACTCTACGCCTCTCTAATGAATGTAAGCCTAAGCTTTTCAGTCTTTCTTCATATGGAAGGTTTCTAATATTATGGATCATTTTTGTCATTCTTCTTTGTACTCTCTCCAAAGAATCTATGTCCATTCTATAATAAGGACACCAGAACTGAACCGCATAATCCATGTGTGGCCTCACTAATGCTAGGTAACGTCTCCTGTACACACACACACACACACTGTTACCGTCTCCTGTACACGCGCACACACACACACACTGTTAACGTCTCCTGTACACACACACACACACACACACACACACACACACACACACACACACTGTTAACGTCTCCTTTACACACACATACACACACACTGCTAACGTCTCCTGTACACACACACACACACACACACACACACACACACACACACACACACACACTGTTAACGTCTCCTTTACACACACATACACACACACTGTTAACGTCTCCTGTACACACACATACACACACACACACACACACACACACAAACACATACACACACTGACCTATTCTCTCAGTCACTTACTCCCTCACTCACCATCTCCCTCACTCACCATCTCTCTCACTCATCCTAACTCTCGTTTCAGGTGTTCACATAACAAATTCCGGAAGCTGTTGGCCCAAACTTCATGCTTGTCGCGTTTTGGGGGTAAATAATGAACTTGTTTTCTTTTTAGGGGGATATTGGCCCAAGTTGGTGCCTGGTCTCGTTTTAGGTTCTTGTCATATGTTGATTAAACTTAGGTTGTACTTGTTATTTATAATAATAATAATAATAATAATAATAATAATAATAATAATAATAATAATAATAATAATAATAATAATAATAATAATAATAGAAGAAAAATAATAATAATAATAATAATAATAATAATAATAGAAGAAAAATAATAATAATAATAATAGAAGAAAAATAATAATAATAATAAGAAGAAGAAGGTTTTCTAATGCACTATACACAATTAATACCTTTCATTATTCTCCTACAATTAATATCATTTTAATGTATTCCGTGGGTGATTTCTTCTTATGCTATCTTATAATCCTTCTTCCCTCGTCTCCTAGTTTCTCTTTTCATTATTCCGGTTTTCGGCTTATTCCTCCTCCCAGGTGTCTGTCTCACCTGAGTGCGGACTCAGGTTAAGGAGGTGACAGCTTGTGTTGACGTGAGGTAAATAGTCTGGAGCCAAACACGTTCACATACACACACGCCTAAAATAGTCCCCCTCCAAATACACACACACACACACACACACACATGGGCGCGCGTGCCTTTACTTGTACACTCTTTGAATATATACACACATAAGTTAGTCTAACCACCCACGCCCAGATTGAACACACACGCCATCCTTACATAGTTTAGACATGCACCCTTTTTACTAAGCCTGCTATAACACACACACACACACACACATTCTCAGTCACAAACATAAACTGTATATAATCAGATGCTCAAGAACTCGATAAAACAACACACAACGCTCGTGGAAACAAGCTGGAGGTAGTGGCATCCAGAAGTATCCAGGTGAACAGATGTAAGCAGACAAATACATATATTATCATGGCATGGTGCAAAAATACAGGAAACAATTTCTTATCACTAATCCCATATCTGCATTTGCCAGGATGACGGTAATTTTCAACACTTTCTTTGTATATCTGAGACTGTGTTAAGTCCCTTCATTATTCCTTCCTTATAACCCAGTGACCAGTGTATCAAATATTAGGTATCTCCAAACAATGCTTTTCGTACAGTCGTAATTTTTTTTTATTTGTGAAGGCTTTACAGTATTTATTTAGGACGTGAATTCCTTCTTTTGTAAACAGATATGTTGAAAATAACTCAAAAATAGCTTCGTTTCCAGAGTAATATTCAAACTTAATATTATGTCTTTCTTACAAAATTCTTGAGAGAAGTTTTTAATTATACGTTCATGTAATATATTTATATTTTTATCACTCATTGCACGTCGAAATTGAATATCTTATAATAACTCACCTTCTTTCTATAGTTTTTTGTGATAACATAGAATTTAACTGTTTTCTGTGTGTATTTTTCTTCCGCGTTAAGATATGTTTTTTAAGCAACATAATCTGGTCTTTTCATTCCTAAACTTACGTCATAATAAGTCAACAGCCTCCATTCAAGTCTCATTCACAACTATGGAACTATATGACTGCCTTCGTCCTGTGTCGAAAAGAAAAAGATGAAAGAGAAACTAGATTTTGCATCACAGGGACGAGGAAATATCGTTTTATACATGCAATATTGTACGTTTAAGAGAGGTGAAGGTAGCCGTCAGCCGCTGTTTCTCGTGGTGGTATAAGCTAAAGAAACTGAGCAACCATTACCGAGAATGAACGGGGAGAGGTTTAGTGAAACCACCATCACCACAGCCATCAGCCTTACACACCACCACTCCCACTACACCAGTACCACCACAACCATCAGCCTTACACACCACCACTCCCACTACACCAGTACCACCACAACCATCAGCCTTACACACCACCACTCCCACTACACTAGTACCACCACAACCATCATCCTTCCATTCCACCACCACTACCAGCGTCCTTGTACCCGTCCCCCAGGCAAGAG